GTGGTCGTGCCAAAGAGTCCGTCCTGATCCGAGGCTTGGTTGATTTTTTCGTAACACATATTTTTTTAAAGGTGAAAGGTTGTTAGCCCTACACCCAACCCCCAACCTGGAGGACCAGAGTATCACTCTTAGTCTAGCGCATCTATACAAATAATATAAAGTATTGTTATGGACTTCTGCATATGAATTATCAGCATTCTATACAAATAAAATTATTTTATTAGTAATTCTATAATATAGATGCTAAAATTTAAAAATAACAATTAAAACGGTATGTTACAGTTATTAAAATCATCTAAAAGAGAATATTTGTGTTTTAGTTACAAAATTAATATAATCCAAATCACACAACCTTGCAGTTGTTTCTAACTTTTAAAATTTTTCAGAAGGTAACAGTGGAACATAATGAGTATTAATGTGGTCCCAAAAAATCTTTTGTTCACAACACATCACAATGGACTTCTTGGTTTCTTGCATGCAGCAACAATGTGAGATCAGTATGAGACAAGTCACCTCATGAAATGCTGCACACACGATGATGCTGTGATGTTGACTGTAAGGCGATGGACACCAGATTAGTCTCTGAAAGTTAGCAGGGTTTCAGATGTCATCACCGGCATCCGGAGATATGTCATCGTGGCTGCAAAGCTTCCAGAAACGGATGGCACAATCACTGAAAGGAAAACACGCTGTTATGTTTGTACAAAATTTACATCAGTAATGAGATTCTCAACCTGGTTAGAAACATACATGTTAAGCATTCATTATCTGTCTTAGTAATAGCATCAATTCAATCTCATCTTTAAATACACTTCACCACACTCTCCTAATCAATAGGCATTATTACACAACTGTGAAACTCACAAAAATAACTATAAGAAATACATAATTATAAGTTATTATGTGCTCTTTGCATGAAGTGCATAGGGAGAACACATTATGGGTTGACTCTGTCTGTCTGCCCATCCAGTCGATTCTACCACAGAACCATTGGATGGATTGGGATGAAATTTGATGTGGAGGTTGTGCTATTCTGTATGACCTCAAAATCATATTTTTGAATATTCTACGAGCATCAGTGATAACAGAATGATGGAAGTCATGAGGTAGACAATGAGATGCTGTAGCCTGGCGGACAAAGTAGAAATTATTGAACAAATTTAATTCCTCTAAATGCATGTTGCAGAGAACACACGAGGATATTGTGTATTCCGGTACGGAATACACTTTCCTCAGTTGTGTGCACATTACGAGAATGTGAACTGAAAGTTGATTCAGTTGAAGAATACTTAACGAATCTTATACTACTTGCCGACAAATTACTAGATTACCTGAATTAAATGCTATATATATTTTTAAAATTGGCATATTTTTGAAGCTCAAGTCACAGATCTTAAGGATGGCAGGCACACATATTTTCTTATAATGAACAGTTTCCTTTCCTCGGGTGGGGGGTGGTTTGAGTATGTAACACAAATTCAACTGAGAAACTAGACTCACATGGGTTTTCACCTTATTTTCAAGTAAAAATTTCACATTCAAAGATTAATAATATATAACTTAAAACACACTTGATAAATTTACACCCTTTTAATTGTTTCATTGTAAACATATACACAAACAACAATGATGGAACCAAAAATATTAGTATATAAAAGATGCAAGTAAATACACAGCACTCACATGCCCATGAACTGCAGGAACACAAAATTAAAAATAAGACAAAATGACACAACACTGCACTAATTCTAAAAGCTATTTTGGTCCTTGAGTTATTATCTTAAATGCATCCTGAGTTGCCATTATAAAAGCAGTAATAGTGTTTAATTCTTGTTAAGTGATATATGTGGTAATATTTATATCATCTCTATGTGGATTTTATGAAAAATTGTAAGTCTTACATTATTGCCAACAATTTCATTATTTCCTATGCATAAAGCTTAACTTTTTACATGTAACACAAATGGCTATACCAGTCTTAAAAGAAAACAAAGCAAGACTGCTTAACCATCAATTCTATACACTTGAAGAATATTATCTAAAAATATGGTAACATAAATAAAACCAAAGAAGCTACATAAAAAGCCAGCATTGGAAAACGTTTCCCTGTTTTATTGCACTGTCTTCTATAGATAGTGTATCTTCATAACAATTGTACTACAATTTGGGCAAACCTATCTCATATCTCAGTAACCAGATGCCACATGTGCCACTTCTCTTATGAGATTACTGATTCTACACATGGCATATAAGATAGTAACATGAAATAAAACTCTTGTATCAGTACAACATAAATGATAGCAAAATACAACTGCTACATGAACAACACAAGTTAAACAACAGAAAAGTCCCAGACTTCGGTACTTCCACTGTGGCCTTGGTATTCAAGCACATCAAAACAAAAGCAAAACTGAGGTAAAGCTATACAGAACTGTTACCTGTTATTAATGCTAATTGTTCCTTGGCCTGTCATGTACAGCTTGTTCCACTGACGAAAAGATGCAAATGCATTCTGCTGACAGACAATGAACTGCCCAACTATGCATGCTCTGTGCTAAGTTTCATTTGAAAAATGCAAGTCCCTTACCTTGTCAAAGGAACTAATACCCTCCTTACCAAGACGTCCATCCCAACCACAGATCAGTATGTCTACACACAGTTCACATAATGAGACATGAGACTGTCATTGCAGCAAATATGTCCATGGTTCCATGGTGGACTTCTAGGTTAGATAACAAACTTCCCCAACGATAAGCTCCTCTAAACTGTTGATACTACCTCCACGTACACATGGTATCGTACACCAGAACACCACGATGGACAAAGTTTACTGTAATTGTTCTTTCAAGAACTTACTCTGAGCTACAAATGTCTTTCAAATTCAGTACACTGTAGGGTAACTAGTGCATGATAATGGCAATAAGGACATTTTCACCAATTTAACTGGCAGGAAATATTAAACTATAATTTCACTTTTGGAGCATGGGACAGCGCATCTAGACTCACAGTTGTCTTACATATTCTCAGAGCCTGTCTGGCATATCGATATATTCATAGGGCCCGGAGACAAATGAAAATTACATTTATACCACAGCCTGGGAAAACAAGTTTCAAAGAGATTAATGCTTATCACCAAATCAATCCAGCACATTTCTCATTCAAGACAATGGAGAAAGAAGCAGAAAAGCCATTTTAGCAAAACTGTATTGAGGGATGAACCCATACATTAAAACCAGCCTGCCCTTACCGAGCTCGTAAATCTATTAAAACTGCACTGCAAAATGTAGTAACACAATGTGGAACACAAGAGAATAACTAGAAGCCTTCCTTCTTATCAACTGGCAAGTGGAAGGTTCCACAGGCCTCTAGGACAGACCAGAACTTATATGCACTTATAAAAGGCGAGCGTAGTTGAGGGACAGGGTATATTTGTTGTAAGAACAACAACCTAAGTGTGAGGTGCAACGTGAATCAAATAGCTACCAGAAACAGACAAAGACAGAAGAACGATGTGAGGTATGTAAATACGAGCAGTGGTCAAGAGAACAAATGTGATTTAGAGACCGACAAACTGAAAGACATGAAAAGTAACTACTGGAGAACGATAATTTCGAGTGATATTCCTTCAGTTGCTTTGAATGCAGTCAAGAAGAAGTTCGTATTAATTACAATTGAGTGTTTAATAAATCCATCTTTGTAAAGAACAAGCAAGAAATTGAGACTCATTACAATGCAAGCACATTTGTTGTGCAGATGGCAACGGTATTTTAATTTATAATATTACAAAAGGATGTCTCACCTTAAAATCAGACAAATACTGTGCCCTCATTTCCATAAAGAGACCTTATTTACAGTTGGAGAAGCTGGCAGGCATAACCACAATATATGCAGGGCACTTCTGACAAGATCTGCATGCTTTTGGCATGGTTATTCTTAAAGAACTGTACATATTTAAACCAAAATAATGTATATCTGTTGAAACTGGTAAAAGATAATCTATACCTCAATGCCCCAGGCACATACTGCATTCCATGTACATGTGGTAAGTTTACATTGCAGAGATGGACTGAGCCACTGAGACACGGTGCAAGAACCATGCAAAGGACATGTCTGTACCAACTGGACAACAGCACGGAGGCTATGGATTGTAACAATTTCAAGGGCACCATTGTATTAGCTACATGGATTCCTTTGTGAAGGAGGCCATCAAGACATGGTCACGCTCCAATGATTTAAACAGACATCAAATTCACTCAAAGTCAATCATGGAATACAGCTACTGACCATTTAAGAGAAGTAGAGGGAAGAAGCAATGGCACCAATCATCCGAAATTGTACAGATTAAGAAACAGAGATTACGAGATGACTGAGTTCCAAACTCCTGTCACTGTATCGCTGCTGTAGTACTCTAAGATAAGGACAAGGACACTGGGCTCTAAGAGCTGTAAGTACAAATACAATAGGCCATCATATCAACCCTGATAATAGAAGAATAGGAAGCCTCTAAAACATTGGATATTAATCACATTCTCACATGCCTGATCTCCTAAGAAGACTTCATCGCATTCAGCTGCCATGAAAGCTGTTAAAATTATAAAATTAAACATATTTGTGGCTTTGTTTTATAGTAACATTATGGTTATACTTTACACCTATGACACCCATTGTAACAGAATGCTAAATTACTTTACTTAGAGGTGACACTTATAGCAGATATTAAAATATGAATACACTGATAACAAGCCCTTCTTTTCTCCAATGTAGAATTTTCTATGGCAAATTTTGTGCTTCACGTACTCAGTGTAGTCATGATTAAAAGCAACTCTAAAGATTCAACAAACTGCATAACAAGTATAAATTAGTAAAGCCAACATGAACGACAGCAACACAGATGCAGATCTGCAAGAAAAATGAAAATTTGAAAACATGCACAAAAATATTACACAGATTTAAAATGAAACCAATCACCTGGCACAAGATGCTGGCCTCTCAGCTGTCGGCTGTTTCTCAAGGAAATGGACGTGCCATATGGAAGGATCACATGATACGGACAAACAAGATTTAAAATAGCTTCCTCGGTGTTATGTATGTTAAGATATCAGATCTATGAGATGCTATGAGAACATATGTATCGTCTAAATTTCTACGTCATACCAACTCATACAGACACTGTTCAATAATTGGCTGAAGGACAAGACAAATGCGTGACTTCAGACCTATATGGTGGCAATAGTTCAGGAACTGATGGTTCTGCACCAAAAAACTTGATGTTTTCAAATAAAGTGGTGGAAAACCAAAAACATTGTTATCTGCCAGCAGGAAAACAAGCAAATGTTCTTAACAAGTACACACTGATAGCTCATAATTCCAATTTCCCTTCATGACTCAGAAACAATGGAGAATCTTCTGATCAATATGGTATGATACTGACAGCACATCTGAACTGGATAATGATTTCAAATCACATTTCTGATGGACTTGAGATGCGTTTTCCTTTATCACCAGCAGAATGCCTGCAGTGTTACAGAGGGAAAACTTAACATGTGTTTGAATTTATCAGGTTTTCTTACCCACAAGCTTATCACAGGCCTGCTCATCTGACGGGCATTGTTAATTTCAAAACAAAAATCTGTTATCCTTAAATCATCTGACGGGCATTGTTAATTTCAAAAGAAAAATCTGCATTTGTAGTGTTATCTATAACAATAAGTTTCAAAGATATTTGTAAAGATTTTGCCCATTTCTTCTGTATGAATATAAATAATAATTGGAACTGTTCTTCCTCCTCTTGTTAGTTGTGCGAAAATCTTCTTAAATTCTGAATTGTACAAACAGTAGCAAACTGCCAGATAGAGTAATTACATATTCATGCAACAGTTTTATTTCATATTAATTACTAGAATCTTTAAGAGAGAAGATTACATCTGACAAGAACTTATATTTAAAATCCCTAAATGATGAGCTTAAAAAAATATTCTTGAGAATGGAATTATAACGTATCTTCCTCGTCTTCTACAGAGGACCACATCATGACAAAGTCTCAAAAAAGAACTTCTTCATAAACATTTGGTGTATTTCCTGTGAGTGCCACACATATAAGCCTTTTGCATAACTTGAAGAACTTCATGACCAGAACAAGAAAACAAAATACAGACACAAGATATTCAATACATTAATATGAATTATGAGCTCTTGCAGGCCATACTGAAACTGGACATAGGTCAGGTTTTGCAAGGCCATGGTTTAATGCACAAAGTGAAAATTATGCAGTGTCATAAATGCAAATAACAGAATATTGGCCAATGGGAATATTATATTGCATAACAACCTATGTACCATCAAAGCTGATGGAAATTAAGATTTTTTGTGTTGAACAGTAATATAATTTATTGCAGCATTATCTTTGCAAATTGCACCTAAATTACATTAATTTGTAACATTACTTTATAAACTAAACTAAATGTGAAAACATCTCATTGGCAGCAAGCTGAAATATCCTGCATCACGCTCTTGACACAAAAAACCAACCACGTTAACTTCAGACTTCTGCCATAGGCAAGTTTTTTTCTACATCTCACAAATGGTGCAGCGAAAACAGATGATGCACCATCAATGGAGGAATGATTTCCAGTTCAGTTCTGTACCACCTGACAATCTTCATTGGCTTTGGGAGTGGGTAACAGGAAGCAAAGCGAATAAAAGCTATCCTTGATATCATCGCTCATGATGATGTACACAAGATACAAATTAGGCACTGTCACCGACATCCGTTGATTCAAGAAACTTATGACTGAATTGGCCAGTTATCTTTATAGCTAAAGTGACCCGGATTTTAACATTTAACAATGGAGTCTGTGCTGTCTTCTTAGCAACTTCATCTCTGCTGTTTTACAAAATTTTGGCTCTGGACTGGTCAGACACTAAGATTTCAACTTTCAATCCTGTTAAGATCACAAATTACGCCATGCCTTCTGCATTCTGTTGTCCTGAGTAGGTAGAAACCTTATCACGGGCTGATTCGCCGTCCAAATAGCCCCACCAAATGACTAGTGGTGTCACTCCTCATCAATAAAAACAAGCTATGAGTCTCTTCCATAAAAGCTAAAAAATACTCTGATCCAGTGAATGTCACATCAGTACATATAAACCACTCTTCTATGTGCTAATCCACGCCTCTATCTGAGCTTTAACAATACTCAAATTTCACAAACTGTTCCAAAATGTTCTCCATTCCATACACCAATGTCTGTGCATACAAATCAAACAATGATAACTCTTCTGAATTATATGATTTCACCTCATATGTCCCATTTCCATATAAGAATTCCTGTTCATCCCTAAATGTTAGTGGACGAGGGAAGAGCCATTTCCTGAAACGTAGTGGTTTGAGGAAGTACAATGGCAATTGAAAAAGTCCAAAAATTTGAAACTGGTAATAACAATTACTGTCAATCCAGCATGAACTGAAATTTAATTTCATAAACTCAACATGTTTCAGTCTTTAGAAAGGTCATCATCTGGGATATCATCCAGTTTCACTGTTACAGAGTGACATATTTTTACAATACCATTTTGACAGAAAATAATCTATATTTCAATGTTCAGATGGTATATTATAATCTGAAAATATTCATTATTATGACAGAGATCTCACTGGGGTTATTTATTTGCAGCCATCTTACTATTAACTGCATAGTACACAATTATTTAACAATGTTCGAAGTATCCAAGAATATTCATTACGTACATTATGGTTAATATGGTACCATATTAATTACTGAGTGTCATAAATTTAATTTAATATTTAGAATCCATTAAAATATCTACATACTGGTGTGCTGATTAATAGTTATACATTCAGAGAATGGATCAAAATAAATTTCTTGCATATTTAAGACAGTATGGATATCAAAGAATACTGTGGTACCATCATCTGATCCACAAATAATAAAATTAAACCCATCTTCATTGGAAAGAGACTAGCACTTCAAATATCAGCAATTTCCTCTAAAAACAATAAGAAATGTCACTTCTAGACTTTTATTTTAGTACAGAAATATTATACCATTCCCTGCCTAATAAAATGCATTGCTGTCACTGAATCTGGTCTTGGTGCTGTCTAGACTGGAACTGCTGTATTATAAGTACGTAGTTGTATGGGTACCCCTCTACCATATGTTACGTCCATGTACGAATCAATTACATTACTTAATCTGTTCATTTATTGCTGTATCAAAAAGGCAATAATTTTCTTCGCATTTTTTTTCTTGTATAAGTAACCATAATTTCTTATGTACATAAATGTGTATATTTTCGCATTTGGGTTATTCATAGAGTAACAAATATGTTCAGACAATCCTCCAAATGCACAACACAACATCAAATGAAGGTTTCTTAAAAAAATGTTTCTAAATATTAAATGAAATTTATGACACTCATTAATTTAATATTTAATATTGTGCCATGCATTTTTAAAATGTAAATAATGAATATTCATGGCTTATTTGAACAAATGTCAAACAATGATAATGTGCAATTAATAGCATGACAAATGTGAGAACATAGCTTCAAGAAATCTTTATCATAATACCAAATTTTTATAAGATTACAGTATAAAATCTTTAAGACTGAAATATGGCATATTTTCTACCAAAATAATATTGTAAAAAAACTACAATGCTTATGCTCTAAGCAGTAAATTCAATGACATCCCTGATGATGAATGTTCAAAGATTGTAACATGTTGAGGTTATGTCATTTCAGCCTATATTGCAAATGATGATAATTCGTGTGTGTGTATATTATAATGGTATGCATCTGTATGTAAAAATGTGTCCTATGTCCATTTGTTTACCGCCCTTGTTCATAGTGAAACTGAATGTGGAAAGACAACGACCTAGCACACACTGACGAGTCAGGAGGCGTGGAGCTTATGAAAGTGGAAGGGAGGAAGCTGTAAAGAGCAATGCATGAAGAAACTACTGCAAAAGGCGTATGTGAAAGGCTTCACAGCGAGAGTTCAAACACTCGCCCTGTCGACATTGTCATTGCAGAACACTGTGGAGACTTCCAGATCTTCACTTCACCAGAACTGTAACCAGATACACACACAAAGTCCCACACAACTGTTTAAGACTGATGAATAACTTCACAAAATACAGATAATTCTGGTCTGTCCAAAAAATAGTACTACATTAAGTCATGCTATATAATTCACACGGAACTTGTCTAATAGCACAATAAGAAACAAGGTTTCACTGAAACTAAACAGACATCTTTCTCAAAAGAAAATTTTGGTTCATGCTGTCATCTTTATATCATACGCACATCTGAACGCAGAATACTTCATGTATTGTTTGTTTCACTAATTCATTGTCATATAGATTTTCTGAAAGATAATATTAAAAGTGATTCAAGTATGTAACATTATTTATTTTATTATTTTGTGATACATGTTTGTATCATTATGTTACACCATTTTATCATGTTTAAACAGACATAGTGTAATCAAGTCAACAGCACACATGATTGTAGTTGTTGCAAACAGCAAAGAATTAAGAATTAACAAAGAACATTACCCCATATAAAATGATAACTGTACATTACAATAATATCTTCACGGGCAACAAGCCGTGTCATCTATAAACAAGAGCCTAATGTTTTCGATACCATCTCTGCCCCCATCATCAAGGGAACGGAAGCAGAGGTGGTCTCCTAAATGTTGGGCTTCTGTCAACTACTGGCATGGCTTCTTGCCCAAGAAGATTTTATCAAGTTCAGTTGCCACAAAACCTTCAAGTCTTGTAAAAACGAATGATAGTTAAATGTGCAACTTAGATGCATCTATTGAAAAACAAAACTTCATGTTCTACCAAGTATGTCAATATCAACATACCTTGGAAAACCATTAGATAGAATATAAAAATTTCAGCCAAAGAGAGCCTAGGTTATTACGAACTGAAGCAGCATAAGCCATGGTTCAACGAAGGATATTTAAAACTATTAGATCAAAGAAACAAGCCAAATTCCAATGGTTCCAGGATCTGAGACAAACAAATGGAGGTAATCTGAATAAAGTATGACGTGAAGCTAATAAACACTTCAGGAACAAAAATAGGGAATATTTGAAAGACAAAATTAATGAGCTTGGAACACAGGAACATTAGAAACTTATGCAGAGGTATAAACACATTTAAGAATCATTAACAACATAGAAATAACTTGATCTAGGATGGAAATGATGATCTGCTCAATGATTCCCACAACATTTTGAATAGGTGGAGGAATTACTTCTCTCAGCTGTTGAATGCAAATGGGGTTAATGATGTTAGGCAGATGTAAATACACACAGCTGAGCCAATAGTACCTGAACCTAGTTCTTTTGAGGTTGAAACTGATATTGCAAAGTTGAAAAGGTGTTAATCGCCAGGTAGTGATTAAATTCTGGCAGAAATGATTCAAGCCAGAGGTAAAACATTATGTTCTGAGATCCATAAACTCCTTACTTCTATTTGGAATAAGGAAGATTTGTCTAAGCAGTGAAATGAGTCTATTATTGCACCAATTTACAAGAAGGGTGATAAAACTGATTGTAATAATTATCAAGGCATGTTACTGTTATCAACTTCATAAAAAATTGTATCTGACATCCTTATCTCAAGGTTAAGTCCACATGTAGATGAAATTATTGGAAATCATCAGTGTGAGTTTCAACATAATAGGTCAACTACTGATTCGTCAGATACTAGAGACAAAATGGGAGAACAATGAGACAGTGCATCAGCTATTTACAGACTTCACTTCAAGACAGCTGATGATTCAGTTAGAAGGGAAGTATTGTACAATATTCTCACTGAGTTGGCATACCCATGAAACCAGTTAGGCTTATTAAAATGTGTTTGAATGAAAACTACAGCAAAGTCTGTACAGGTAAACATTCGTCTGACACATTACATATTCAATATGCTCTAAAACAAGGATTCTTTATCTATACTGATGATGTAACTCTACTGGGGGATAACATAAAAACCATAAAGGAAACACAGAAGCTCTAATTGAAACTATTAAGGAGGTTGGTCCAGTAGAAAACACAGAAAAGACTAAGTATATGCTGATGTCTTGTCACCAGAACGCAGGGCAAAATCGTAACATAAAGATAGCTAACGGATCCATTGAAAACGAGGCAAAGTTCAGATACCTGGGAGTGACAGTAAGAAATAAAAATTTGATTCCTGAGGAAATTGAAGATAAATTTTGTTAATGCTTGCTACCATTCAGTTCAGAACATTATTAATTTCTTCTGCTGTCTAAAAACATAAAGATTAAAATATAGGAAACTATAATTTTGTCTGTAGTTTTGTATGGTTGTGAAACTTGGTCTCTGACACTAAGGGAGGAACATAATCTGAGGGTGTTTGAGAACAGGGTGCTGAGGAGAATATCTGGACCCAAGAGGGATGAAACACTAGGAGGCTGGAGAAAGCTGCATAATGAGGAGCTTCATAAGTTGTACTCTTTGCCAAATATAATTAGACTGATCAAGTCAAGGAGAATGAGCTGGGCAGGGCATGTAGCCTGCATGGGAGAGAAGTGGAATGCATACAGAGTTTTGAAGGGCAAACCAGAAGGAAAAGAGCCTCACCCAGACGTAGGTAGGAGGATAATATTAAAATGCATATTACAGAAACAGGATGGGGTGGTATGGACTGGATTCATCTGCCTCAGGACAGGGACCATTGGGGGGCTCTTGTGAGCACTGTAATGAACCTTTTGAGTTGCATAAAATGTTGGAAATTTATTGAGTGGCTGAATTACTGTTGGCTTCTCAGGAAGGAATCTGCTCCATGGAGAAAGTTCCGCTAAATATAACTACAGAGTTTCCAATACTGGTAACTTTGTAGCATTCATCAGATAATCACTACCAAACTAAATAAAAATATATAGACAAACTACCACATTTTGAAAGGTATTTGCAAAAAACATGATTTTATAAATTCTGTTGTTAACTTCTATTCAGAAAGCAACAAAATATCATTTCAGATACTTATACCACAAATAAGCACATCCTGAAAATATGATATTGTACATTTAAATTATAAAAGACTAAAACACAGTACAGGCTCTTATGTAACAGCACCATAAAGCATTAAGTAATAAATTAAAAAACGGTACCTTCATGGCCATTTATTCTTCATTACATGACCATAAAAAGCATCTTCTTTGAAACTGGAACAATCCTAATCCATTCACCTGCACATTCTTTGGGTTCTGATATTACAACAGTTTAATAACTCTATCATCTTTCCATGATAATATAATATGAATATTATAAAATCTGAAAGACTTCAGATTGGGGGAGCACTGGAGTGCTGTGATATGTATATATTAATTTATAAAATGTTTAGACTGACTACACTATCACCATTAGTTCATTATGCTAAGAAAGTGATCAAAGAGGGAGGTGAGGAGAAAATAAATCCATCTTATTAAGCAGGAAAGCTCCTTTAAAAGGCAAGCTCTGAAAATAATTTAAATTAAGTACTTCACACATGAACTACTCAATGCATTGACACTTCACATTACCAACATATTTTTCAAAATCAGCTTCTGACCTAGGCCAATGATGTTCATTTAATGGGTGAACACATAAATACTATAAAAGAAACAATGTATTAGAAACCATATTATAACTAGTGAGGACGTTGGTCTAGAAGTAACTGCATAAAAAGTTTAGTATGTATTCATGTCTTATCATTCTGCAGAACAAAATCATAAAATCACTGGCCATATTTGACAGCACGATGTTGAAGAAAACAACATAACGAGGACTTTCAAAACGTATTTACCAAATATTCTTAGGAAAACTAATTAAATGAAAATAAGGACAGGAGATGCAGCATACGTAAAGGATGTGAGAAATGATTATAGAACTTTGGTTAAAAGTATAAGAAACACTTGGAAGATCTAGACACAGATGGGAAAGTATTAAAACCTATTTTTAAAGAACTGGGGTGGAAGGATGTGGAGTGGATTCATGTGGCTGAACATATGGATTAGTGGCAGGCTCAAGCAGACATGGCAATAAATCACAAGGTTCCATAAAATGGGGAATTTCTGGAGCAGCCAGGAGACCATTAGCATTTCGAGGAGGACTGTGCTCCATGGGGTTAATTTTAGAAATATTAGACTCAGATAATGGTACACCACTAACGAATTCATTATCTGTTAATATTTACACTTTTTTAAACAAAAGAAGGTTTCTACTTACTTAGAGGCTGTGAAGATATGTGAAGAGTTTGTTGTAATGGCATTAATAGGTGAACTATGGGCTTTCATCTCTCCCAGAAGATGACAGGAGTCTGCAGCCCACAACTTCAGAATGCCCGCACGACAGCCAGACAGAATCATCTGTCCACCAGGCATGAATGTCAAGCCACAAACCCAGTCTTTGTGAGCGTTGTTCAATGACTGCACAGACAGAACTTAATGAGATAACTACAGGAAACTTTTCACACTGCAGAAGATATGACTCAACAGGAATAAAGTATAGCAAAAGTCAAGGATGTAATTGTTCACTCCACACAGCAACTTAAAGAACTACCCTTCCATGTAAACTTGCATTTGTGTTCCACACTGTTCTAACAATTAGCCTTTCTGACCGATGGTCACAGCAGCACTGCTAAACCATTAACTTAAGAGCACAAGTTCAGCTGGCAGCACTGTAATATAGAAGTTGAAATCTGCTATTCCTGTATATTAAAAATTAACATTCTTCAACAATAAATCGTCCATTATACACAAACGTTATTAACATGTTTTGGCTTTTTACAAGCCATACTCAGGGCTCCTTTAGACTCACAATGAGCTACTCAGTTCACACATGTGAGTTACATAACCACTTACATTCTATGTTCTTTACAATCCATGTCTAGACCTTTTCTGTCTTATATTGTGTTCCAAGTAATTCAGCTTGACTTTAAACTATTTTTCAAACAGAATATTATATACAACAGATTAGATAAAAATATGCATAACTCAGTTATTTAATAATAAAATGGTTCATTATCCATACAGACCTGAATAAGCTCTTGTTTTGAAAGATCCCATTTCTTGATGCACATGTCTCGAGAGCCAGAGAAAAGTATGTCACCTCGGATGGCGAGAGACTGGATTCCATCATAATGAGGTGGGTTGAGATTCATCTTAGGAGTATAAACATTGCTGCTTGTTGCACGATCAACCTCAAACACCTACGAATACAACAATGGGCAACCTCCATAAACTAAGATTATTTTTTCATTCACCTTGTTTGAGACGTTAACATGGATAAAAAGTGATCAGGTATTCCATAAACTAAGATTATTTTTTCATTCGCCTTGTTTGAGACGGTAACATGGATAAAAAGTGATCAGGTACCCAGCCTGGACAGAGACATTTTCAAACAAATGAAAAGTAAATATATGTTGACCTTGCAGGTTGTCATATTTCATGCCAGTGCAGTCCATATGCAGTCCATATAATGAAATGTAAAGCAGAACAAACATCACACCTAACACATGTGTCTGAAACTAGAATCCTCACCTTAATGTAATGATCCTTTGAGCCCGTAATGACCACATCCTCATCCTCCGACAGTTTCCCAACAGCAAGGCACATTACTGCTGCCTGGTGGCCTCCACTCAACTTACCAGTTGAATCAAACCTGCAAGAATGGAACCACAACTCTGATAACCAACTGAAAATGACAGAGCTATACATGAACCATAAAACAGTGTACAGTTCATGTTCCTTTTTTAATCACCCTCCACCAGACACAGAACAACAGTGATATAGAAAATTGGCACATCCACAAGGTCTCCTATTTGACATCCACAACAGACTGATAACTATGGAGTACACAATCCACAGCACAGTGTAAACAGCAACTCACCTTCTGAGGTCCCAGACACGAACCCTGTCACCAGCAGCAGAGTAGAGAACGCTGCCATAGTGATTTAGTGCCACATCGTTGAGCTGGATCTCCCCTGCTGGGAGTGACTGAGAGGTACTTGAGCTACCAGACATTGTGAGGCCAGATGAACTGTAGAACAAGAATTTTAAGATCAGTAGTGAAGAGATGTAAGTCACAACAGACATCGCCAGAGTGTCAGGTTTCTGTGACCCAAATTACACAAGGTGATTAATTCGACTTCAAAAGTTTTTAGGACAGATATATATGTCATGACATCCAGATGCCCCTTCACTCCTGGCCGATACTCTGCCTTTTAACGCAAATTGTGGAAAGTACACATGAAAACAGCCCTAGCTTGCCTGGCAGTAAACCAATAGGACAGGAAGACTGTCCCTTGTGAGCTATACAATAGACAGATATGTAGGTCCCCAATGATGAAAGCTGAGGCAGCATTCAAAATGCCAGAAATTCTCTTCCTACTGAAATGACTGATAGCCTTCAATCATTGTGAAACATTAAAATGTTACACTGTTTTATATGTACATGGGGAAAAAAGTTGGGGGGGGGGGGGGGGCGG